GGCGCTGTCCCTCAGCTCTTCAGCTCAAGGCTAGCACTCTACCACTTGAGCCACAGCACCACTTCCAGCTTATTTCTTTTTTCTTATGTGGTGCTGAGGAATCGAACCCAGGGCCTCAGGCATGCAAGGCAAGCGCTCTACCACTGAGCCACCTTCCCAGCCCCGATTTAATAAATTTTCACAGGAAGGATCTTTCAACATCTGTGCTACTGGCCTTTCAGTAAACATCCTTCAGCCTAGAGAAAAATTTCTCTTCATGTTCTCTATTCTTTTTGGATCTCTTTTCTAGAATTTAAAACCAGATGTCTGATTGATTCTTTTTTTGTCATTTTGCATCTCTATTTTTTTTTTTTTTTGGTCAGTCATTGAGCTTGAACTCAGGGCCTAGGCCTTGTCCCTGAGCTTTTTTGCTAAAAGCTAGTGCTCTACCATTTTGAGCTACAACACCATTTCTGGTTTTCTGGTAGTTGATTGGAGGTAAGAATCTCATGGACTTTCCTGACTGGACTGGCTTTGAATTACTATCCTCTGATCTCAGCCTCTTAAAGCTAGGATTACAGCAGTGAGCCACTAGCACCCAGCTGCATCTTCTTTTAATTCTACTTTCTGGGGCTATTCTGTTTGATTTTCACCAATTCTACTTGCCAAAACTATGTCCTTCTACCAGACATAGTAGTATATGCCTGTAATCCCAGCATGTTGGAAGCAGAGGCAGGAGAATCGAGAGTTCAAAGCCAACCTGGGCTCCATAATGAAACAAAAAAGTAGGGGGGCCTGAAAATATAGCTCAGTAGTAGAGCACTTACCTAGTAAGAACTTGTGTTCAATCTCCATTACTGAGGTAGGATCTTTGCGTTTATAATTCTGTTTTCATAACATCCCATTCTGTGGTGAAAGGAGGGTGCTGCTTAAATTTGGTTTGGCTTGGGGGTTTTTTGTTTCCTTTTTCATTATGGGGAATTACAGTCAAAGCCTTGTGTTTACTAGGCAGACTCCAAACCCTTTTTGTTTTATTTTTGGATAGGGTCTCTTTTTTTTTTTTGACCTGGAGGCCTGGACCATGATCCTCTATTAAGTCCTGTAACTGGAATGACAGGCATTAGCCACTGTGTCCAACTTCATGGGGGCTTTTTTGGTTTTTATTTTTTGAGTTTTTATGTTGGAGGGAGGGAAGTACTGAGAATTGAACTTAAGGCTTACAGTTGCAAACTGTTTTTTTTTTTCTGGATATTTTTGAAATAGGCTCTCACTCCCCCCCCCCCCCCGCAGCTTGTATCACAGTCTTCCTATTTACATTCCTGCTAAAGTTAGAATGCCATGCACATGCTACCATACCCAACTATTTCTGTTGAGATGGGGGTCTTGTGAAATTTTGGGCCAGGGTACTGTGCACGCCTCTCTCTCTCCCTCTCTCTCTCTCTGTCTCTCTCTCTCTCTGTCTCTCTCTCTCTCTGCAGTTCTCTTTCTGATTATTTGAGCACAGAATCTCAGAGAAATTTCCACCCAGGATGACCTCAAACTCCAACCGTCCAGATCTCAGCCTCCTAAGTAGCTAAGATTACAAGTGTGAGACACTGGTGCCTGGCAGGAATTTCATTTCTTTTTTTTTTTTTTGTCGGTTGTGGGGCTTGAATTCTGGGCCTGGGCGCTGTCCCTCAGCTCTTCAGCTCAAGGCGAGCGCTCTACCACTTGAGCTACAGCGCCACTTCTGGTTTTCTGGTGGTTTATTGGAGATAGGAGTCTCATGGTCTCTCCTGCCCGGGCTGGCTTTAAACCTCGATCCTCAGATCTCAACCTCCTGAATAGCTAGGATTACAGGCGTGAGCCACCAGCGCCCGGCTAGGAATTTCATTTCTTAAACCTATGTTCAAGTCCCCACTTCAGCAGCCATGATATGTTGGGCAAATGAGCCCTCTCTTTTTTTGTGTAGCCAATGAAACACATAAAATATACCAGTATGGCAGCAGGAGGGAGGAAGGCAGGAGGCACTAACTCTGGTGGAAGGTGGTGATAGATTCCAGAGTCAAGGCATGGGCAGAATGTTGAGTGGAGTCCTCCACTCGATGGGACTGAGAGCATTAGAAGGAGAGCAAGAAGAGGAGGAGGAGGATGGGAGAGATGAGGAGAGTGAGAGTGGAGAGGGAGGAGGTGGCGGGCAGCATCTCTGGCCTTGGTTCCAGGTTCTGTCAGGGACTGTCCACCCACCCTGCAGCTCCCTCCATCACCTCCTTCTCCCTGACAGGTGCCAATGCATTTCCCTGCTGTGGCAAGACCTCGGTGGATATCGTGGAGAAACAGTGAGAGCCAGCCCTCCATCACTGTAGGACCTCCCCCACTAGCAACTCTAGCCCTTTCCCCTTGACACCATGTACCTCACACACACCTATAGGATCTCCCTCCATTTGGCTCCTTTCTAAATCTCCACAGGGCAGGGTCCAGCCCCTGACACTGAAGGTGTCATAGATAGGGCCTGACCCCTCAAAATCTGCTGCCCAGTTAAGGCTAGAGCTACAGAAGGTGAGAGTAGCTATAGAAGGAGCAGAGATCACACACACACACACACACACACACACACACACACACACACACAGCTTCCCACCTCTGGGAAGATGGGTGGATGAGTAGGCATTGCCCTGGACTTCACCTCCATAGGGAACACTTTTTGAGCATTGGTTAGCCAACTGAGCCACACTGTCTGGGCTACAATGAGTGATAAGAATGAGGATTCCCAAGCCTCATTGCTTTGGGGCTGGGGGTGGATTGGCAAGCTCTCCAGCTTCTGAAACTCAGGGAAGGAAGAAGTACTTACCCCAGTGAGGTACGGTGGGGATAGCAGAGTGGATAAACTGGATGTATCCTGACACAGGCCCTATGGGAGACTCAAGGGTTCCAGAGATCCCCCTTCTCCCTAAAGTTACCCTCTTGACCCTATTGCCCACCTATCACTCACCCTGACTTTCTCTGTCTTAGGAATGATCCCAGTCATCCCCATCAATCAGCAGAAGTGAGTGTCCCCTGATATGGAAAGGTGTAGCTAAGGGCCAGGGCTCTTTGAAGCTCCTTTTTCTAAAATCCTGATCAGCTCGTGTGTGTGTGTGTGTGTGTGTGTGTGTGTGTGTGTGTGTGTGTGTGTGTGTGTGTGCGTGCGCACGCCAGTACTGGGTATTGAACTCAGAGCCTAGGCACTGTCCTATGGCTTTATTGCTCAAAGGTGGAGCTCTACCACTTAAGTCACAGCTCCACTTCCGGCTTTTTTTTTTTTTTTGCCAGTTGTGGGGCCTGAACTCTGAGCCTGGGCGCTGTCCCTCAGCTCTTCAACTTAAGGCTAGCGCCCTACCCCTTGAGCCACAGCGCCACTTCCGGCTTTTTCTGCTTATGTGGTGCTGAGGAATCGAACCCAGGGCCTCATGCATGCAAGGCAAGCACTCTACCACTGAGCCACCTTCCCAGCTTTTGGCAGTTACTTGGAGATAAGCATCTCACCGACTTTCCTGCCTGGTTTGGCTTTGAACTGTAATCCTCAGACAGGTGTGAGCCACTGGCTCTAGATCCCAAGGCCCATTCGCCCACTTCCTTACTCATCACCAGCCTTTCTGTCCCTCATAAGTCTCCAAAAAGGGGTAAATGGGGGAGGGGGCTTTCAGAAGAATGTGAGTGAGCTAGAGGTAGTGGGGGGGTATGGCGCTAGGGGAGACCTGGAATGGTGGGTGGGGGGTACCTAGTTCTTACTTCAGCTTTTAGTTGCAATCTTTCAGGTAGGGGCACAATCAGTAGAACAGAAACCCCTGTTCCAAGATCCAAACCCAGAGCAGGAAGAAAACTTTGGCCTGAAAATGAACATGGATCCCATATGGAAGGTGGACAGCTTGGAATCTTGCAGTGACAGCTCTAAGCCAGAATATACTATTGAAACCTTCCATCCCACCGCAGAGGAGCTGGCAGAGATGCAGAGCTTCAACCAATGGAGCGTAGACTCGATGTGCAGCAACCCAGAGGAGGACCAGGTACTAATCCAACGTCGCTCCATCCATGCACAGACCTCCAGGCACCTCTTCTGGTCAGACAAGAATGTCCAGGCCTCAGAGAACAGCCTACAAAAGGTGATTGAAATCCAAGACAAAGGTAGTAGCAAAAAGACTACCAGAAGCCACCCAGAAAAGAAATCCATTTCCATTGCCACTCCCACTCTCCCAGCTGCATGCTCCCAGAAGCCACCTGTAAGCTCCTCTCTTCCTGTCTCCCACCTTTCACCGCCCATCGCCCTATCGGATCTGATCAACTTTGCATCTTCCCTGGCCATAGCCTCTACTAGCAACATGAACTTGCCCAGTTTGGAGAAAATGCTCAAACCTGTACTACAGAAGGCTCCAGAAGCTTCTACAAAGCCCTCCCAGCCCGCTGAAGAGAAGCAAGAGCTGACAGGGAAACTCAAAACTGTAAAGTTCCAGAAAACTTGGGCTAAACAAGAAACAAACTTCCCTCACCCTTTCTTAGAATTCAGCAAGCCAGGGATGAAGACAGCCACCCTTGAAGGGGAAGTGAAGTTTGTCCAGACATCAACCATGAACTCCCAAGAATCCCAGGATGAGTAAGTAAGACAAAGCCACAACTCCTCCACCAGGGGTTGCCCTGGTCTATGTGGGTGGGTTCCCTAGGATGGATGCCTGACACAACCCAGTGGGGTTTCCAGCAGTGGAACAGGGGCCTGGGAGAAGCTCAGTGGAGCTCCAACCTCAGTGACCTCATAGAGGATACTGGAAATAAGGTTCTGGTGGACTGAGGTGTAGTGCCAAGGCCAGGGCCAGAGGAGGCCTGGGGACCATGGAGGGTGAGCTCTCCAGGACTGGGGTGGGCACCTGGATTCAAGGTGGAAAGGGTCATGTGGCATTAGAAAGCCAGCTGGATGACCACAGCCCTGGGGCCCAGGATACTTCCATGAGAGAGAGAGAGAGAGAGCAGGGCTCCAGTGTTCCTGGCCTCTGGTAACACATAGACGCAGCAGAGTGCCAGCTGCCCAACAAAGAGGAGATTCCCTTATTGGAATAGCCTCCTCCAAACTGCAAGGCCTCTCCCATTTCCCTTTCTCTATCTTCTCCCCGGGACTGCAGTGACACTGTCTCTCTTGTGTTACAGCTCCGTGCCACCAGGAACCAAGAAAGGGAGTCCATTATTGCTGAAAATCCATTTTAAGCTGTTATCCCCTGAACTCCAGAGAAATGACTAGACAGAAACATTAAAACCTCCAGTGCTGGCCCCAGCCTTTTTGTGTAAATCCTTCTGGACCAATGAGTTCACCTGATTGTTTCATTCTGGTCTCGATTTTTTTCTCTCTCCCTTTTTTTTTTTTGGTGATACTAGGGTTTGAACTCCAGGCCTCACCTTTACTGGTCAGGTGCTCTACTGCTTACTGTTGAGCTACACTTCCAGTACTTTTTAGCACTGGTTATTTGCCTGAGCTAGTGCCTATACCTCCATCTTCCTGTTTTATGCTTCCTGCTATAGCTGGAATGATAGGTGCATACCACCATACTTAGGTCTCTCCAACTGTTCTACTCAGGCTGGCCAGAAACTATGATCCTTCTGATCCAAGTGGCTGGAATTACATGAGCCACTGTGCTTGGGCTCTGTCCTCAATGTGTGTGTGGGGGAGGGGAGTTCCTGGGGCTTGAACTCAGGGCCTGGGTGCTCAAGCTAGTGATCTACCACTTGAGCCACAGCTCTATTTCCAGCATTTTTTGGTGCTTAATTGGAGATAAGTGTCTTATAGGCTTTCCTGCCTGGACTGGCTTCAAACCCAGATCCTCAGATCTCAGCCTCCTGAGTAGCTAGGATTACAGGTGTAAGCCACCAGTACTCAAATGTTCTCAATTTTTTTTTAATTTTTTTAGGGATGATACCCCTGTGTTTTAGTTGTACCCACCTTACCTACTCCTGAGGTTTCTAGAACACTGTTCCTGGCCTTCTGTCTGCCTGTTTACTCCCCATGGGTAGGACTGCTCCACTCCCACCTACTAGCCCCCCCAGAAAGACTCCATACCACCCTTGAGAAAATGCAGAGTTCTGTCCAAGAGTTCAGTTACTTAAGCCCAAAGCCAGGGACATGTTGAGATTGTCCATTGGGGTGTTCTCCTTGGTAGTGGGCCTTGGCCAGCAAGAACAAATCTGAGGAGAGTTCTTTTTGTATCTTGAGAGGCGTGGTATGGGAAAGGGATAGTGTCAAAAGCTTGAAGAAGGGCCAACTGAGGCTCATTGTACCAGGCACAGATACAATGCATGCACACAAATGTATAAGCCATCCCATGTTTGGGGTTAGGCCTTGGGGAGCCTCTGGCAAGGTGATGGCTACAAAAGAGGAAAACAAATTCAGAGTGTGTGAGATGGATGTGGGCATGGAGAAGGAAGCCTTAGAGAAAGAGAAGAGGCTAGCCCGGGCACTGAGTAGTTTATTGGAGATGAGAGTCTCAGGAGACTTTCCAGCTCAGTCTGGCTTTGAATCACGATCCTTAGATGTCAGCCTTCTGAGCAGCCAAGATTACAGGCATGAGCCACCAGCTTTTGTTTTGTTTTGGGAGGCAAGGCCTCACTAGCTGGTCCAGTGTGGCCTATAACTTGACATCTTCCTGGCCTCAACCTCCCAGGTGCTGAGATTACAAGCGTATGCTATAATGCCAAGACCTAGTTGAATTCTTCATCAGCTCTGGGCTTCAGGCTCCTTGCCAAGGCCACAATCAGTTTCAAGACTCCAGGAGAGGTTTGAAGAGAAAGGGGCCCAGAATCAGAAGAATGCATTAGGCAAGAGGAAAAGAAGCAATTGAACAAGGACAGGACTAGAAGGAGAAAGGAGCCAGAAGCTAAACACTGAGAAGAGATGTGTAACTGAGGGTTGGAAAAAGGGCTGGGTCAGAAGTATCATTAGGCCCTCCGAATTTCTCTGGAGTTTGGTTGTTTTGGTTTTTTTTTGGTCGGTCGTGGGACTTGAACTCTGGGCCTGGATGCTGTCCCTCAACTCTTCAGCTCAAGGCAAGAGCTCTACCACTTGAGCCACAGCGCCACTTCCACTTTTCTGGTGGTTTATTGGAGATGAGTTCCACAAGGAGCTGGGAAGGTGGCCCAGTGGTAGAGTGCTTGCCTCGCATACATGAGGCCCTGGGTTCGATTCCTCAGCACCACATAAACAGAAAAAGCCAGAAGTGGTTTTGTGGCTCAAGCAGTAGAGCGCTAGCCTTGAGCTGAGGAGCTGAGGGATAGCGCCCAGGCTCAGAGTTCAAGCCCCATGACAGACAAAAAAAAAAAGTAATAATGATATAAATAAATAAGTTATTTCTTAAAAAAAAAAAGTTTCACGGACTTTCCTGGCTGGGCTGGCTTTGAACCATGATCCTCAGATCTCAGCTTCCTCAGTAGCTAGGATTACAGGTGTGAGTCATCAGCGCCCGGCTCTCTGGAGTTTTTGTTTAAGGATTTTTATTTTATTTTTTCTGTTGTTTCAAGGGCTTGAACTCAGGGCCTGGCCACTTGTCCCTGAGCTCTTTTTTGCTTGAAGATAGCACTCTACTGCTTTGAGCCATAGCACCACTTCTGGTTTTCTGGTGGCTCAATGGAGATAAGATTCTTGTAGACTTTTTTGCCTGGGCTGGCTTTGAACAGTGATCCTCAGATATCTTCCTGAGTTGCTAGGGTTACAGGCGTGAGCAACCGACACTCAGCTGGTTTTTGGTTCTTTTCTCTTTTTTTTTAATTTTCTGTTTTAAGTACACAGCACAAGTCAGCTGAAGCACAGAAAATGCATACATAGTCCCTGTCTCTGTTCATACAACCTCCCTCACAATTGAACAGTCATGAACCTACGTTGACACATTATCATCACCCAAACCCTTAATCTAGGGCTCGCTCTTGGTGATGTGCTTTCTATGGGCTTTGTGAAATGTATAACACACCAACATGGTAGTATCACACAGAATAGTTTCACTGTCCTAAGAAGTTTCTTATCTGTCCTTATTTATCCCTCCTTCCTCCAATCACTGGTTACCCTCTGATCCTTTTATTGTCTCCTTTTGCTTTTTCTAGAAAGAGTTGGAAATAATAGAGTACATAGCTTTTTCACATTGGCGTCTTTCTCTTAGTTATATGCATTTGTTTCTTCCATTCTTTTCATGACTTGATAGCTCAGTTATTTTTTTAGCACTGAATAATATTTCACTGTCCATATGTCCCACAGTTTATCCATTTATCTACTGAAGGGCATCTTGGTTGCTTCCAAGTTTGGGCTACTATAAAAATACCTATGTGCAGGTTTTTGTGATGACTTAAGCTTTCAACCCATTTAAGGAAGTTCTCTTAAGAGTTTTTAAATATTCCAAAAACTGAATAGGTTTTTAATTTTACCAAATGTTTTTTCTTTATGACATGATCATGCAGTTTTTCTTCTTTAATCTATGTGATGGATTGTATTGATTCCCAAATGTTGAAGCAGTCTTTCATTCCTGGAATAAATCTCACTTGATTGTGATGTTATATATATTTTTTTGGGGTTGGGGGGTAGTTCATGGGGCTAGAACTCATGGCCTGAGTTTAGTTATTGCTCAAGGCTAGCACTCTACCACTTGGAGCCACAGCTCCACTTCCTGTTTTCAGGTGGTTAATCGGAGATAAGAATCTTACAGCCTTTCTTGCCCAAGCTAGCTTCAAAACAGGGTCTTCAAATCTCAGCTTCCAGAGTAGCTAAGATTACAGGCATGAGCCACCAGTGCCCAGCTGGGAAGCTATTTTTGTACAATTTTATATTCAATTTGCTAATATTTTTGTCAAAGGTTGTTGCATTTGTATTCATTAGAGATAGTGGTCTGTAGTTTTCTGGAAGTAGTTTTGGTATTATGAGAGTGATGGCCTAATAGAATAAGTAGTGACATATTCCTTTGACTTTGTTCTGTTCAAAGAAATTGTAGAGAATATTAAATGTTTGGTATAACTCACCATAGTACACTCTATTATTGACTCAACTTTAGAGATACAAGGTATAGTCAGGTTATTTATATATGAGTTTTGGCAGATTGTGTTTTTCAAGGAATTGGTCTGTTTCATCTAAGTTTTCAAATTAGTTGGCACAGTCATAAGTTTCCTTATCATTCTTCCAGTGTCCACAAGATCTGTAGTAATGTTCCTCTCTCATTCTGCTATTGGTAGTTTGTCTTTTCTCCTTTCTATTTTTATTTTCATTTTGGGTGGATAGGGCTAGGAAAGTGGCTCAGTGGTAGAGTGCTTGCCTTGCATGCATGAGGCCCTGGGTTCAATTCCTCAGCACCAAATAAACTGAAAAAGCCAGAAGTGGTGCTGTGGCTCAAGTGGTAGAGTGCTAGCCTTGAGCTGAAGAGCTGAGAGACAGCGCCCAGGCCCAGAGTTTAGGCCCCATGACTGACAAAAAGAAAAAAAATAAATATATTAAAATTTCTCTTAAGATTTTTTTCTTTGACCGATATGTGGGATTGACTTGATCTTGAGGTAAGGTCTCTCTCTGTCACCCAGAATAGCCTCGAACAATCCTCTGCGTCTGACTCTAGAATGGTGAGATTATAGGAATGTACCATCCCTGCCTGACCCCATGTGTTATTTAGAAGTCTACTGTTTAATCTTCAGTACTTAAGGATTTTCTTTCTGTTATTATCTACTTTTTTTTTTTTTGCCAACACTAAGGCTTGAACTCGGCCTGGGCATTGTCCCTGAGTTTCTTTTGCTTAGGGCTAGCACTCTACCACTTGAGCCTCAGTGTCACTTCTGGCTTCCTCTGTTTATGTGGTACTGAGGAATCGAACCTAGGGCTTCATGTATGCTAGGCAAGCACTCTATCACTAAGCCACATTCCCAGTCCTGTTATTAATTTCTAATTTAACTCCATTTTGATCTAAGAGTAGACCTTGTATGATTTCTATCCTATTGAATTTGTTAAGGTTTCATGGAATTTTTTAATGTGTCTGGTGGGTTTATATTGGGTTTTACCCCCATAATCTCAGTTTTACCCCATAATCTAGCTTTGGGACTCTGTGGCCTGCTTCTCCTCCTACGCTTCTGCCATCTTGAGTGGCATCCAGAAAGGCCTTTAAAGGGAGGCAGAATAAAAACAGCAGGTGCCCCAGAAGGGAGAAGCTAGTGAAGGAGAGGGTATACGTCCTGCCAAAAAAAAAAATCTACCACAAAAGCAGCCTGGGGCCTGTGGGTTTGGGGCACTGGAGCAGCCTCAGAGCCTGTGACTCTGCCTTTCAGGCAGCAGAGAGCAGAAGAGCAAGCGATCCCCATCTATACAGAGAAGGTACAGGTGACTAAGGCTGGGGGGAGGGAGGATGTCACACCTTACCCCCAGAATCCCCTGGGTGGAGGACTGTGGGTGCAGCCTCATGTGAAATATACTAGAAGGATGCTGTGCAGCCACATGCCTGGTCCCAAGTCTCCTGGAGTCTTCGTCTTGTCTTCTTCCTGCCTCTAAGGTCTCCACAGAAGCCTCGAAAGTTGCTCACACGAGATGCATGGGAGGGGGCCGGCAGTGTGCAGAAAGGGAGGACACAGCTTCGTCCTGCCCAGCAGACACACATGGAGCAAGCCACAGCCACAGCCACAAAGGATGAGGGGAGCATACGGAAGGCAAAAGAATTCAAGGACCCTATGGCTACCCATCGGGCTCAGTCAGATCCAGATACAAGTTCTCAGAGGTAAGGTTGGGGCTGTAGGCCCAGCCTGGAGTGCTGGGTTTGGGGTGAGGCCTTCCTGGGCCTGGCATTCCTTTATAGCAGATACAAAGTCCTGTTTCAATCTCTCCTCCCTGGGGCAGCTTGACAGAGGAGAACCTGCTGCCTCTGACACCTCGGCAGCTGGCAGGTAAGGGCCTTAGGGAACAGATAGGCTGAATAGGGGGAGCTCAGGGCAGAACTACAAGGGGTTGCCTGCCCTGAGATTATGATCAGCCAATTGGCAAAAAATATTGGCAAAAGCCAATATTTGTACCCTTCTTTCCATGCCAGTCTAACTCATTCATCTCTATAACCCAAGGACACACTGATATACCTGCTCCAGAATCCCTCTCGTGTGTGTGTGTGTGTGTGTGTGTGTGTGTGTATGTGAGAGAGAGAGAGAGTATAGGTGGATTAGTGGATATATGGATGAAGGCATTTCAATCGATGGAGAGACAAGATGAAAAAGAGAAAGGAAGGCAGAGAGGGAGAAAGGATGGAAAAATGAATGTTTCTCCACTTCCCATTCCTGTAGAATGAGGGGTGGAGGTTGGGGTAGAAGGAATCACTGACCCAATGCTCTCCACAGACCACATCCTGATTTTGGCAGGGACCCCTCAATGCAAGAATCACTTATTCTGTATCAACAATTTTCAATAGTTGCTTTCTAAAACCAGGCACTGACAATGCTTCAGAGTAATGTAGCTCCAGAGGCAGAAGAATGCCTAGTGGGACCTTGGACTTGAATTTTAAATGCTTTTTATACTAGCATCCAAGCATGAGTTTTGGAAATGGATTGAATGGGCACTTAAATGTCAACGCCCAGTAGCCACAGTCTGTATTGAAAGCTATAATAATGCTCAGTGTAGGGTTAGTCCAAATGGACAATCCAACCTCTGCTGGTTCCCATGTGTGCTGCTCACCTGGCTATTTGCCCAACTCTCTACCCTCAGCCTTCCAGGACATCTTCAAACTGTTCAGTTGCAGCCCAACAGGCACTGTGGACATGCGCAGCATGAAAGTTGCCCTGCGCAATGTAGGTATCCAACTAGGCCCCCAGGAGATGTGTGAGGCTCTTCGTCTGGCAGACTTGGATGGTGAGTGCCCCATCCCTGCTCTCTTGTCCTCTTTAATCTCTAGGCACTGAGTGCCACCCAGTCTACAAAAGTCTCTGGCCTGAGCAGACCACCAGTGGTCCATGCCTGCAATCCTACTCAGGAGACAAAGACCTGAGCATCTAAGTCCAAAGCCAGCCCAACAAGGAAATTCCATAAGAATCTTAGCTACAATCAACTGCCAAAAACTGGGAGTGGAGCTGTGGCTCAAGTGGTAGAGCACCAACATTGAGAGAAAAAGCTCAGGGATAGCACCCAGGCCCTGAGTTCAAGCCTCAGCACCAGCACATACATACACACAGAGTTACTGGCTTGGTCTTTACATTGTAAAGTTCTGTCTCCCAGGAAGCTGGCCCTGGTCACTACGCTGACCTTAAACCTTGCTGAGTTCACTCTCATTCTGACTGAGTCTCCAGTGTGTGTCAGGCAGGCTTTGTGCAGGGGCAAACACCCCCAGCATCCTCCTTTCTCATCTCAGGTGATGGAATCGTAAGCTTCAAGGACTTTCTTGGTGTTCTCACTGACAACAACCGGCTGGCTCAGTGCATAGGTGAGGGACAGGGCTGATCCTTGGGAGTGGGCCTGGCCTCAGAGGAGGGAGGCCCCTTCTCATCTCCCCTTTTTCCCCCAGGTCAAATGAAGAGCAACCGAGTATCTGATCCCCAGGGTCTGCACACACTGTTCTTAGAGGTGCTTTTCAAGCTACTGCACCAGGGCTTTCTGCCCTCCAAGTCTGGGCAGGAGGTGACAAGGTGTGTACAACTCTCCCTCCCCAGCTCCTAGGCCCAGGATCTGGAGGGCAAAGCTGGTCCCTTGAAGAGTCTCTGATTGGCCTGCCTCTAAGATGAGATTCCTGAGTTCTGGGCCCATTTCCTGGGCCCCAAGTCAACCCCAGGCCAAAGACAAGTAGCTACTTGGGTTTCCTCACCTGTGAGGTAGACAGGTGTCTGATGAGCTGACTGATCCTCCTTTTCCCCCTAAGCTACTACCAGGAGAAGCAGCGGGCTCTGCGGCTGACCCCAGGCTTGAAGATTCGGAACAGCCAGGGCCATCCCTCGCGCTCCCACGCCGGCCTCAATTTCTTCTGCCAGGCAGCTCGTGTCAGTGGCCTGTCCAGCTCTGAGCTGGCACTCTCGCTACACAAACTGCACAAAGCGGGTGCGCCCCCCAGTGGTCTGTGGTGAGGGACTTGGGGGAATGGAAATGCCAGGCTGGGTCAGCTTGTGGAAGGTAGACACACACACACACACACACACACACACACACACACACAGCACTGTCCCATCCTTCCCAATGCTCAAACCCACCCCCAGGTTCACGCAGTCCCTACTCTCAGATACCCAACCTGACCAGGCGGATGCAGCCAGATTATAGGATACGGAGTGCAATACCCGTGGCGATGCCTGACGTCCGCCTTCCCAAGCCCCATCAACCCAGCCGCACCAGGATCTCAATCAACCTGAGGCCACTATGCAAAGGTGAGAGCCAGAGCACCAGCTGTGCAGCTGCCCTGCAGTTAGAAGGATGAGAGAATCTGTCCTGGGCAGATGGGGCGGGGGTGGGAGAGCAGATGGGGTACGATGGTGGGCAGGAGGAGGGGCAGGCAAAGAGTGGGTGCAGAACCGAAAGAAATGGGACGCAACAGGCACAGAGCGAGGCTTGATGACGGTAAGGAAGAGGGGGCAAAATCAGGGAAAGGCACCCAGGTTAGAGGGTGGGGAAGGCGGAAGTGGGCTGGCAGCAGGAAGGCAGGATGAGGTGGTAGGGATCCTGCGGGAGTCTAATTTGAGCTGCCTCTGGATCTGCAACGCGACTCAGCCTGCCCTCCCTCCCTCCTTCCCCCTCTCCCTCTCTCCCTCCCTCCTGCAGCTTTAGTGAGCCAGCCATCAGAGCAAATTCGTCCCTTGAAGCTGGCTCCCTCCCCACCAACTCTAGTGCAGAAGCAGCCCTTCTCCCCTTCGCCAGCCTGTTCCCAGAGATCAGCTGTGAAGAGCTCTTATAAGTAAAGCGTTTGCGGAATGAAATAAGCTGGGTGTGGTGGAGGCAGGCACGGAGCGGGTGAAGATCTTTTGTAAACATCTTTATTAATCTTGTATAAAAATAAGGTCCAAGGAGAGTTTTCGGGGTCAAGGGCGTATTGGGGGGGGTGGAGGCAAAAGTACACTTCATAAGTTACAGGCCAGGCTCCTGCTCAGGCTAAGTATGGCTATGGGGAGATGGAATGCTGCAAGCAGCTTTTAGGAGGAGGCGGCCAACACTGCCCTCTGTGCAAGGAGAATGTGCCTGCCTGATGGGCATGCCGGGCCCAGGCAAGCTGAGGCCCACCATTTCGGTGCCCCAAGCCTGCCCACAGCCCCACCCATTACAGAATCCACCTGCAGATGCAGCGGCTACAGCGAGAGGTCAGCAGTGACCTGCATGGGCGGTACTGGGGGGCGCCGGCGAACACTGCGGCGGCCTGTGTCCGAGCGGATGTAAGGCTGGTTCCGCAGATCTGGCAGTCAAGAGGAAACATGTGGGCCCTTCAGGAGTCTGTCCAGAGCAGGATCAGACCCCAGGGCACAGGCTCACCCTTCTAGGGATGGAGGCTCTGTTCGTGTGGAGGGGGCCACTGTTTATGGTTTATCTGACTTCCCCTTTCCCACCCCCAAACATCTGAGCTATGTGCTGGACTGATCCGGAAGAGGAAAGCATGACTTTGCTCCCACGGTCCTCAGATTGGAAACCAGGCCATGCAGGTACCTGGCGGGGGTCTTAGAGGGGCATCTCCTCTCCCAGGCTGGCCTCACAGAGGAGCCGGGATGTCCTCTTGCCGGTGCGAGCAGTGAAGGGCACAGTCTTGAGCACTGGGGTTTGGTGGATGAGGGGAGGTAGGCAGAGAAAGGAAAAAGAGAAACAGAAAAAGTAGCAAGAAGCAGTAAGGCAGTCAGTCTCCCTAGGGGGAGAGAAACGGAACTGAGGTCAGGAAAGAAACATGGCCAAGCCCTCACCTGTGATGATGTCTTCAATGGCCCCATCTCGGTCACTCTCATAGATGAGTGGCTCCTTCTGCTGCCTCCGTTTCAACTCAGAAATGAGGTCCATCTGTTGTCTCCGGGCCTTGGGTGGAGACTAAGGGAATATACAGCTCCAGCTCCAGGATCTCTGCCCTCACCCAACCCTAGAGTATATCTGCCTGGGCTCTCATAGCTAGGACAGTGGCTCATGCACAAGGAGCCCACTTCCTTCCCTGGCCTCTGGGGCACTGCCTTTGTTCTTGAGCAGTACCTGTGAGGGTGGGGGGTGATGCCAGAGGATGATGAAGGTAGTATGCATTCCTGTACCAAGCTCCTGCATAGCTGCCTACCTTGGGTGCCGGCGTCTCTCCCCTGCCTGGGGTGTCAGCACCCGCCTCCTGAGCAGCTGCTTCCTTCTTCCACTGTTCCACCTCTTGCTCAGCTTTCTGCGGGGCCAAGGTTGGATCTTGGTGAGGGCAGCCCCCCTTCCTTATAGGAAACCCCTGCCCCTACCACTGCCCATGTAGAAGCCATAGGGCCTCCAACCCAACCACCAGACCCATGTACCTTGTAGGCCTTGGTAAAGCGACTGAAGAGAGAAAAGAACATGGAGGGGGATGTGGTCTTGGGGTTCTCTCCGAAGTACTCCACCACAGACTCATAGGCTTCCTGCAGGCACAGACATCAGCCCCACCAGCATAGACCTCATGCAGCCTCAGAATATTAGCCACTTCATCTCTCATCTCTGCTCCTCCAAGGGGGGGGGGTCCCACCTATAGCCACACCCTCACTGGGTGTGTAATGGCAAGTTCTCCTTCATCCCCCAGCCCAGCCTCCCACCACCAGGCCAAGCCAGGCCAGCTGCCAGCCCACCTGAGCTGTCTTGCTATCTGCCAGAAGCTTGTCCATGGTGGGCGAGTTAGCCTTCAGGAACTCCTTGAGAACCATGCAGTCATCTTGCCGTACAAACTCCCGCTGTGTCAACTCGAGGCCTCGATGCAAGGAGCGAACATCACCCAGGACACTGTCTAGGGACACTTTGTGGGGGAGGAGGTAGGGAAGAATGGAGTCAGGAAATCAGACAACACTCCCACCAAATTATAACCTGTAGTCTTCCCAACCTAGTGGCCCCTGGACTGAGCCCCCGCCCCCTCCCAAGGCCCTGTTGCTTCATACCTGAGCCCGCCTTGTCCAGGAAGTATAGCTCACTATGGAAACCTGTGAGCTGTGGGTACTTCTCAGCAATGACCTTCACCAGGTAGTGCAGTAGCGTCTGCTTACGGTCAGTTGACTTCATCTCCAACAACTGCACAAGGATGCCTTGTAAGGCGCAGGCCCCTAGCCAACCCCCATGCCCCAGGCCAGGTACCCCAGGCTCACCGCATCTAGACTCTGGAGCCGGAAACCGTAGGCTGCCCCTCGCTTGCTGCTGTTCATGTAGTTGCCAAATGCCAGGACAATCTGGGAGGGATGGGAGAAATTCAACATGGTGCCAGGACTGAGAAGGCTCCTTTGAGTATATATTGTACAAGCAGGAGGAAAGGTGGCAAGAAGGAAGCCTGCACACACATCCCACCGCAATTCTGAGTGGACTTTTCACTGCACATGTACTTGTATGTATACGTATCTCACATGTATGCACTGTCAACACCACAGCACACCCAATTTTTCCTCTACTAGTCTGACCCCAAACTGAGTTTCTAATATCTCCTAGGCCAGATCCTAACAGCCATCATTCTGGCTGGATATAGTGTGGTTGTTCTCAAACTTACACCATAATCCTGAGAGCATCTCAGCCTTCTGCCGATCTCAGGTGCACATGGTAATAACCTCTATTCTCACCTTAGCTTCTTTCTGAGCATGAATGTAGGCATGTATGTTATATCCCAGGTGGACAGGATATGAGTCTCCTTCATACTCTCCCAAACAGGTAAGGGTAGGCCCAATCTATAAGCACCCTTTCCCTGAGCGCTCACCTCCAGGATCTGCCGGAGTTTGTCAGAGGACTTGATGGACATGGAGGCTGCAATGATGGCATTCAGTTGCTGGGGATGGGATGGGAGAGGTAAGGAGATAGGTTGGAACCTGGAGATCCCACCAGGAGCCACAAGTACTCTCCCAGGTACTCTCTTTGGAGCCCAAGCTGGGAGATGTCTCCTCCCCACCCCCAGCCCAGGCCACACCACCCTGCCCACTCATCCACACCGGCATGAGCAGTTGGGCAGTATCTGGGAAATTGCCCAAGAAGGTAAGTGTGGCCATGCGCTCAGGCAGGCGTGGGATTCGACTGAATCGCAGCATGAAGCGGTCTTCCTCTGACAGCTCCTCCATTGGCCGCTGCTCACGCTCAAAACGGTCCATCAGAGTTCGCTCATACTCTGTAGGCAGGAAGCGGGTCAACAGCTCCAAGAAGTCCAGGCCAAGAGCTTGCAGGTCATACCTATTGGATGGAATAGAGAGTAGAACTCACTCTACACCCACCAGTCCCTTAAACCAAGATGGCACCCCTTCTTGAATAACTGGACTTTAATATTTGCTATTTGCTGATAGCTTCAGAGAACAAGGAAAATTGGAAGTTTGGGTCCCCGGCCTACTTTAGTGGATGATGGCCAGCTCTAGATGCCTCAGCCTAAGTGCCCAACCTGGGCAGAAGGAGGAAGAGAGTGAGGATGACTCAAACTGGGTATGGATTCACAGTATGGCCTCAGTTTTCCTAGCCTAGAAATGGGACATGTTTCCCTGACCAGGATGATTGTGGGCTCTGTACTGGAATTTGCTTGACCTTGGCTTAACAGAAGAACTGAGCTGTGTTCAAGTCTAGAGACACAGGTACTCACATCTCAATGGCCTGGCAGATACGATCAGCCCCCAGGTTGCCCTTGCGTAGGGTGATGGCCAGGTTCTTAGCCCTGTTGGCCTCAATGAGTGTTGACTTGGTGGGGGCCTTCTGCGCTGCCTTGCCCTTGATAGCACTGAGATCCAGACTGGGCCCTTGAGACTTGGTCTTAAAATGTTCCTCAAAATCACTCATGTCCAGCTCCTGAAGGTGCAAGGAGAAAAGTAGAGAGTGGGGTTAAGGTTTTTCCTACTCCTAGTTGAGCACTATGTTTGGTTCTGAAGCCCACTAGCTTGGCTCTGACAACCCACCAGCAGAGAAAAACCAGTGAGCCAGCTTGACCACACAGGCCCTGATGGTAGGTAGAGATACAGGAGAAACACAAATGTGAGATGACCACCCAACCCAGGGAACCCTGACTAAGGCCATGAAAGAAAGCCAAAGGAAAGGCAGAGGGAACAGTATGTCCAACAGCCTGGAAGCAGAACACCACCTCTTTTGGAAAACACTCTACCAACAAGGAGGGCCAAGGCTTTGTTTGTGGGAAAGGGACTCAAAAGGAGAGGCTAGACAGGGGGAGGGGAGTGAGGAGGTTGGGATGTGCCCCTCTAGAGGAAGAAGAAAGCCTTTAGGGAATCCTGCTCCTCCATGCAATCTAGTCTGCCTTAATGCCCACCCCCAGGACTCGACATCTATAAAACTGGGTGGATGGGGCTGGGAAGGTGACTCAGTGGTAGAGTGCTTGCCTTACATGCATGAGGCCCTGGGTTCAATTCCTCAGCACTACATAATCAGAAAAAGCTGGAAGTGACGCTGTGACCCAAGTGGTAGAGTGCTAGCCTTGAGCTGAAGAGCTCAGGGCAGCGCCCAGGCCTAGAGTTCAAGCCCCACAACCGACCAAAAAGCAAAAACAAAAAAACTGGGTGGAGAAGATGACCACTCCAATGGCCCAGGGTGATTACACGAGGCCCCTCCTCTGGCCTCCACACTGGGAGCAAGGCAGGCCACTCACCTGCAACACCTTCTCATCATTGAGCTCTGTGAAGACAGTGCCTGAGATCTGGTTGGGTTTCAGGGCCACCCAGTTCAGGAGTGGCATCCGGAACTTGGTCTGGATGGGTTTCTTGGCTTTCACTCCTAAGATGGGAAAAGGAGTGGTGAGCCGGGGGCGCCGAAAGGCCTTGACACTAGGTGACCCGCCAGGTGCAGAGGGTCCTGGAGGATGTGAGGGATGGGGTTCTGCGACCTCCGGTCCTCCCACCCTCCCTCCTCGCTGACTCCGATCCACTCACCTGAGCCCATCTCTGGGCTGGGCTCCCCGAGTGCATGTGGGGGACCTCCTGGAGGCGGAGGCGGTGGGGGCGGGGGCGGCGGCACAGGCCCATCAGTGCCAAGAGGAGGCGGCGGGGGTGGGGGTGGCAGGTCTCCGGGCAACGGCGGCGCGGGTGGGGGCTCCGGGCTACCCGGGAGGGGAGGAGCCGGCGGGGGCGCCGAAGGTGGGGCTTCCTGCGAGGTCTGCTGGCCGGGCAGTGGGGGCGGCGGGGGCGGCAGGGGTGCTGCTCCTGGACTCGACTCCGAATTGGTGGCAGGTGGGGGAGCTGAGCGCATCAAGGGCGAGGCGGGACCAGGGAGGGGCGGAGAGGGGTGGGGAAGGGCGTGTCAACTCCTTGGCTTGGGTGGTCTCCCCTCCTCCTTGCCCTACGCATGCGCATGCATGTGGGGCCGTTTCCACCCACCTGCTCCTACCTGAGCCCCGCCCCCAGTCCCATGGATAGATCCGTCTCTGGTCCTCTCCGCCTCCCCTCCTCTCCAACATTCCCCCCCCCCCCCCCCCCCCCCCCGCCCACCGCCCCGGCTCCCTCCGTTCCCTACCCAACGTGTGACCCAAGGATCTCCTCCCCAGGCCCCGATCTCCTCCCCAGGCCCCGATCCCCCCCCCGTCCCCCTCCCGGCTTGAGGCTTACTGCGCACCTGGGGTCGGGAGGCCGGTGGGCACCCTCGGGGCTGGAGCATCTTCGCAGCCACCGCTCGGTGTGACCCCGGAGCCTGGGAGGATCTCGATGGAGACCTCGTCATCCCCCGGGCCTCGCAAGACGCGGATTAACCCCTTCTCCTCCAGCTCCTCCACCTTCAGCTCGATGGCTGACGGCCGCCGCCGCCCCGGGGCCGGGGCTGGTGCCGGGTCATTCTCGGGCTGTGGAGGGCGTCTGGCGGCGCCCACGGCGGTGGAATCACTGAAGCGCTCCTGCGAGCCCCAAGGGAGGGGTAAGCACCCACTGACAGGGCCCCTATACCCCTTCCCAGGGTGGAGACCCTGGCTGGCCCCGCCGTGCACCCCAGCTCCAGCCCGCAGCCCCTGCCCACCCGCACGCGTGCGCGTGGTCCCCACCCTCACCCGCAGGGTCTCCAGCTCCTTCCGAGCCAGGCTAAGCTGCTTTTCTAGTTCGGCGATCTTGGCCATGGATTCGTTCTCCGCGTCCCGAAGCCGCTCTGTCAGCTGTGGCACCGGCACATGGTGAGCTACCACCCTCGGCCAAGCACTGGCACCGCCGGCGAGGGGGCGGCATCAGGCAAGCCTGCCTGGATGGCTGGGGGAGGCTCCCACATCCGCTTAGCCCGGCGTGCCAAGGGTGGGCCGAGCCTGGCACTTGGACCCAAGTGAATGAGGAGGGGTAACTAAGGTACCATGGATGGGTTGAGGGGGAGCGGTGGGTGGGGAGGAGGAGACTGAGCCAGGAAGGGCCCCAGGACCCCCAGTCAGGGATTGGGGTCCACGCATCGGTGGAGGAGGTGCCTGGCTTCCGCACCAGACCCACGCAGCAGCGTGGGAGTGCACTGAATCCTCATTGAGAAAGACGACCAATTTGGGATTTGGATTTAGGTCAAACTCTGGTGCCAGGCAGACAGCCACATCCAACTCATTCCCAGAACAGATCTGCCATTCCGGGCCTGCAACAGACACATCCTGTGGGCCCACTGTGTGCTGGGCTGGGTTCGGAGACTGCGCTCACCAGTGCCACTTGCTCCTGTAGCTCCTCCATGTGCTCCAGCACAGCATTCTTGGTCTCTGTGTCCTCCAACAGCGCCCCGACATCAAAAACATTGTCCAGGTACGCCTGGATCTGCACCTGCAGCTTGTCACTCTCAGTGAGCCGAAGCCTCTGTCCCCAGATGGAAGGAAGGAGGTGAGGCCTGGGGTGGGTAGGGGTCTTTCCTTACAACCCCCACCACTACTGGGGTAGCTCCAGCCTGCTATTTTCTTTCATTTTTATTAAGATATAATTTACATACTATAAAATTTACCATTTTAGGCAGGGCACTGGTAGCTCATGCCTATAATCCTAGTTACTTAGGAGGCTAAGATCTGAGGATCATGATTCAAAGCCAGCTCCAGCAGGAAAGTCTGTGAGACTCTTATCTCCAGTTAACCACTCAAAAACTAGAAGTAGTGCTGTGGTTCAAAGTGGTAGAATGCTAGCCTTGAGCAAAAAGTGCTCAGGGACAGCACCAGACTCCAAGGAGTTCAAGCCCCAAAACCAAAACCAAAACTTACGTCATTAAGATTATATAACCATCTCCACTAATTTTTTCTGGGTTTTTTTTTTTGTTTTGACATGCAGGACCTCACACTTTCTAGGCCAGGGCTATTCCATGTGAGCCATACCCCCTAACTTTTTTTCCACTTGATTTTCTTTTTTTTTGGGGTCCGGTCGTGGGGCCTGAACTCTGGGCCTGGGCGCTGTCCCTGAGCTCTTCAGCTCAAGGCTAGCGCTCTACCACTTGAGCCACAGCGCCACTTCCGGCTTTTTGCTTTTTGCTTATGTGGTGCTGAGGAATCGAACCCAGGGCCTCAGGCATACAAGGCAAGCACTCTCCCCCTGAGCCACCTTCCCAGCCCCATTCACTTGATTTTCCTTGGATAATATTTCTTTACCAGCGTTGGACCACAGTCTTCCTCCCTCTGCCTTCCAAGTTGGAATTACAGGCATGCACCACCAAAGCCAGCTTTTTTTTTTTCTTTAAGCCGGTTCTGGAGCCTGGGGGCTATTCCTGAGCCTCTTTGTGCTCATGACTAGCACTCTACCACTTGAGCCACAAGCCACAATGCCACTTCCAGCTTTTTCTAAGTAGTTTACTGGAACTAAGAGTCTCACAGACTTTTCTGCCTGAGCTGGCTTTAAACCACAGTCCTCAGGTCTCAGCCTTCTGGGTAGCTAGGATTATAGGCATGAGCCACTGGCTCTTGGCTAAAACCAGTATGTGTGTGTTTCAGCTTTTTTTTTTTTTTTTTGGCCATGGGGCTTGGACTCTGGGCCTGGGTGCTGTCCTACAGTTCTTCAACTCAAGGCTAGCACTCTACCACTTGAACCACAGAGCCACTTCCCACTTTTTCTGTTTATGTGGTGCTGAGGAATCAAACGCAGGGCCTCATGCATGCAAGGCAAGTGCTCTACCACTGAGCCACCTTCCCAGCCCTCAGCTTTTAAAAAAAAAAATAGGGTCTCACATTTTGTCCAGGTTAGCCATGAACCCTGATCTTCCATTCTCTGCCTTCGAAGTAGTCATGAGCCCCCACTATACAAGGCCTCCAGAACATTTTCATTAGCCTAGAAATAAACTCTGTACCCATTAGCAGTCACTCCCATTCTCCCCTCCCCATTTCTGGCCACCACTAATCTACTTTCTATCTCTGTGGATCTACCCACATCTAATATACAGAAATCATATACTATGAAGCCTTTGGTATCAGGCTTCTTTCACTGATAAGTTTCCAAGGCTCATATGTGCTGTAGCGTATCAGTACATCCTGGCAGTATCAGGATTTGAACCCAAATTTGCATTAGGTAAGTCAGGACGGCTGCAACACTCACCTCTAAGTACAGGTCCAGACCCAGGTGAGTGAACTCGTATTGCAAGAAGACACGGAAGTTCATGTTCTCTACCGAGTGGACCACAATGTTGATGAATTGCATGCAGGCCACCTGGGGACCAGGGATAGCAGCAAGTCTTGATCCACTGGATTGGTGTTCAGTGATTTCCAGACCTCATTATTGATCCCCAAGTCTCCCTCTCCACAGCTCCCACTCTACTAACCCAGGTCTGTCACCTCCATGTCCTCTGCAGCCCAAGCCCTCCCACCCCCACACTAACCCCCAACTGTCCAATCAGTTCTCACACTTGGCTAGAACAAAGCCCAGAGCCCAGCCCCACAGCCACTTCCTGCACCCAATAGGCCTTAGCTCTGTGCTGTCAAGCTTACCATGAAGTCGATGTTGCTGTCCTCATTCCGGAAATATTCCATCAGCTTTTCAAAGCGGTGCTGCTCCCCACACACCTGGGTCAGGGGGATGACACTCACTGAGGACCCAGTGGCTCAACCTCCATGTTTGGGTCGTATGTCTTGTGCCTCTAGAGGCTTCTCTCTAGTTCTATCAGATCATATCAGTCTTCTAAACCCCACTCCACTCTCATTCTCCTTATATACAATGGCACCCGCACACCTCAGGGCCTTTGCAATTGCTGTTTAAACTGTGTAGTATGCTGTCCCTTAACATAGACACCATGCTCAGGCCCTTACTCCCTTCCAGCTTTGCTCAAGTCTCATCTTGCCAATGAACTCCTCCTTGACTACTCTGAAACTTGTTCTCCTGCCTCCTCAACATCTCTTCACCCAAAACGCTTATTTTCTATTTTGTGTACATGCATATGCACATGCATACCAGTACTAAGGCTTGAATTCAGGGCCTGAGCACTATCTCAGCTTTTTCATTGAAGGCTGGTGCTCTACTACTTGAGCCACAGCTCCACTTCTGGCTTTTTGGTGGTTAATTAAAGATAAGTCTTGCCAGGCATTAGTAGTTTACACCTATAATCCTAGCTACTCTGGAGGATGAGATCTGAGGATTGCAGTTCTAAGCCAGCCCAGACAGGTAAGTCCGTGAGACTCCTAATTCCAATAAACTGCTCAGAAAAAGCCAGAAGTAGTGCTGTGGCTCAAGCTGTAAAGTGCTAGCCTTAAGCACAAAGAGGCTTGGGATAGCACCTAGGCCCTGATTTCAAGCCCCAGAAAGGCAAGAAAAAAAAAAAAAGGTAAGTCTCATAGACTTTCCTGTCCTGGCTGGCTTCAAACCTCTATCATTAGATTTCAGCCTTGAGTTTACAGACGTCTGCCACTGGTGCCTGGCTCCATGCACTATATCATGTTCTTCTTAATTTCATAGTTTGTTATCTGTCATCTCCTTTTTGTTTCTTTTGCTCATTGACACATGGCAAGGATCCACACTTTACCCGATACATAGTAGACCCTCAGTAAATATTCACTAAAGGAATAACTGCACATATGCATCCTTATGCTCCACAGTTCCTTACATCTGCCTCTCACAAACCTGTTTAACAGAATTGGCAACCCCAGGATGTCTGGATTGAGTAAGGATTGATTGGATTGTAAGGCTGAGAGAAGGCTGACCTTGTCCTTGTCATCCTTACCTGACTCTGTACCCGCCTTTCAGAACTTCCCTGTGCCAGATTATCCTCTGGGTCCCCCAAATTCCCATCCTGCATCCCCAGTTCCAGATGTCAGCAACAGAGCTCTGAGCAACACCAGAGGGGCAGGCAGGTGTGTGGATGGGCTCTCCAGTACCTCCTTAAAGTTGTCAAAGGCTGCGAGAATAATGTCATGTCCTCCCCGCACCAGGCACACAGCTGCCAGCAGCTCCAGCACCAGAGCCTTGGTTCTAAGGAGAGAAGGTAACAACAATCCCTAGTAAAAGGTGGGCATGTCCCAGCTAGAGGAGGATGGGGCACTGAGGGTGTGCGTCTGGGAGGCCATCCTGAGAACTGAGTGGGAACAGAGTAGACTAGGGTGAAGCAGGAGACAGGTTATGCGTGTGGACCTCACCTAGGGTTCTTGTTGTTGAGGCTCAGAGCAATCTCATTGACGCAGGCTGGATGGTTCATAACAAGGCTGAAACCAGACTAGGAAAAGAGGAGATGTTAGCACTCCAGGCAGGCCCCTGAGACTAGCAGCACCTCCAACATAATCAGAGCCGTGACAGTTCGTGTCTGTAATACTGTCAAGCTCAGCAAGTCTTTCTATTCAGCCATAACCTCCTCTGCAGCAACCAAACCTTAACACTACCCCTCATTAAAATTCATATTGTTCAGAAGCCAGGGTTGGGCACCCTAACATAGCGAAACCATATGGGCCAGAGACGCAAGAGAAATAAGCTTCACTCTGGGTCTTCCAGTGCTCTTCTGTGAACCCTGCGTGGTATCCCATGTGACACCCAAGCATACCCCAGCGATACCCAGGACCACTCAAAAGGACCTGACAAATAGACAACAAAAATATGGGCTTCTTCTCAAGACTCATCAGCCTCAAGATGCTCTGCCAAACCGTCTAGGTCCCCAAGGTTCTCTGGTGAGGGACAGGACAAAGGGACAATTGAATTCGGAACCTCAAGCCCCAGACTAGTCCCCCAGGTCACCAACCCCATGCCCCCCACTGACCTGGTAGTTCATGATGGCACGCAGACACATGATGCAAACATGGACATCGTCCTTCTGGCTGACAATCCGAGAATTCCGTAGGGCCTTCCTGCTGTGAGTGGGGGTCATCCTGGGCAGGTATGGGAGAGGCAGCAGGAATCAGCCCAAGCCTTAACGTCCTGCTTCTTCTACCAGCAAGTAAGAGACAAGGAACTCCGAGAACCTCAGGTAACGGCTTCCTATCTCTCCAACCAAAAAGGCCAGTTTGGAGCAAGGTAGGTGTCATCGGGCCTCAAACCTGGGATCTCACTTGCTATGGGGGGGGGGCCCACTGGGGAGGCCCTTACAGGCCAAGGCATGAAGAAGGGCTGCTGTGCTGTGAGGGTAAAAATCTGGCAGGGAGAAGACCAGCCAACACTTGGAAACAGCGGTGAGAAAGCTCTCCACAAGGTGGCGCTTGCCGCTCCTTGGGCTCCTCTTCCATCTTGAGAGGCAGATTGTGAATGCAGACTGTTGTGGTTCAAGAACTTTCCAGTTCACCACTTACTACACAGGTTACTTTCTCTCCCTGAGTCTAATTTTCCTTATTTGTAAGAAGTAATTGCAGCAATAGTACCTTCTTGCAAGGCTATTGGAACTATGAGATGAGCTCAGAACAGTGGCTGGCACCTAGTAAGTTCTATCGAGTACTCTGAATTACATTTGGCCCAAAAGTGTGAGGTTTTCATTTTTGCAGAATTGCCAACTGTGACTTCCACATGTCCATCAATCTTGACGATTCTATCACATTCCTAACTACTCTGGAGCCCCTCACCTCCACCCAGCCCAGTTCTCCCCTTTGCCCTTTCCCATTGCTGAACTGTGTCTCGGTCTTTGCTCATTCTGTTCCTTCTTCCTGGAATGCCCTTTCTTGCCCTCATGCTACTCACAAGGCCCCTTCAATCTGGGTAGCTTCAGTGTCACCTCTTCTGGGAAGCCTTCCTGATTCCTCCATTCAGTTTTCCAGTCACAATCTCTGTGACCACCTGTCACCGAACTGACCCCCTCCCCCACTAAACTGTGAGCCCCCAAAAGGCAGCATGATTTATCTTGGAGGGTAATCTGCCACATACCTAACATAGGAAATGCTAACAAAAGTGTCTAACTTGACAAACATATTGTGAGTGTTTGGGATTTAACATGCAATTGGTCCTTTGACCCAAAGTTGAGAGCTGAGTCCCCCATGATGCTCCAGGGTCACATCCATCCCCTTCTTTGCCTCCTGCAGGACACCCAGGCTAGGGTCACAGCAACCCAGCCCAATAGTATCAGTTGAATGCCTCATCCAACCCACCACCACCCCAGGAAGTCGACCAGGCATGCACCTGCCACCAGGTGGCTACGTACCGGGGAGAAGGGGGGCACCTGGAGGCCGCATGGGAGAAAACAAGGATTAGATGTATACAAGAAGGGTTCCACCATCCCAGAAACCCCTCCTTACCCCAGACCCAGTCAGAATCCAGCCTCTGAAGGATTCTTAACATATCAGCATCCTGAGCCTTGCATGAGGCTGATTCTGAATCCCCCATGCTTGGTTGCCCCTTCCCCAGCCCCTAGCTAGCACTCTGGATGGGCCTGGCTAGAAGAAGCCTTGTAAGGTTGAATCCTCCATTTTCCCACCACCTTGTCTTAGGGACACATACTTGATGGTCAAGTGACGATTTCTGGGCGCAGACGGGGATGGTCCCTTGCTGAGATCTTCTACGGACTGCTCTAGTGGCTTGCTTTTTTCCACACCGGAGGCCCCATTGTCTGTGCTCTCCATGTCGTACCTGGAGAAGAGACGCAGGGACTTCAGGGGACACTTGAGTGGGTAGAGAGAACTGCAAGGTGAGACATCTGCAGGAAAGCCTGGGGTAGAAAGAGGAGACTGTGTTCTTGGCTGTGTGCTGAGCACAATGGAGGGAGAGAGAATATCCTTTCTTGATCAGGGAAGGCATCAGGAAGGGATCTATCCCAAGCCAAGTGCAAGGGCTACATGGAAGTGGCAGGAAGGCACAAAGTCAAGGGACGCCAGGATTGAGGGTCTGAGGAGCAGGGTCAAGGGTCTGAGGAGGGGCATCGGGGCTGGGGGCTTACGTGACAGAGCACTGGGCAAAGGCTAGGTACTCGAGGAGCACGTCCAGGCCACAGTTCTCCTCATTGAGGAACTCCTGCACCCACCTGCAGGGCACAGAACTCGCTCAGTTCCAGCCAGGAAGTAGGCCTGCCCGAGTGGGCACCAAGCAGGCACAGCAAGAGCCTTTGGGTGCTCTTTCTCCACAAGTCCCCACCCTCCCCTCCACCTCAAGAGACCCTGTGATGCTAGGGACTGAGCTCAGGCGTAAGCTCCAGGATGGGGAGGAGCAGAGGAGAAAAGCATCTAGGCCTCCACCTGGAGGTAGTCCACAGGCCCAGCCCTGTGCCAGGGGCAGGGGAGTTGGATGGGGAAGCCCTAAGGCTGTGGGAGGCCCAGAGCGGGAGACCTGAGTTCTGGCTCACCCAATGTGGTTGGTCCTCAGGGAGGTCTCCAGCTCCCGCAACACTTGCGTGGACTCCTGAACTCGCCTCTTAAACTAGGGGCCAAGAACAAAGAGTCTGGTGGGTGAAGCCCCACCTCCCACAGGCCTATTGAATCCTAAGGCAGCAGCCAGCAGTACCCACCCCCACCCTACACTCAAGGCCTTTCACGATTGTCCTCCCCCACCACCTCCACATGCCTGCCCTACACAATGCATGCTCAAGGGCTCTGCATCCTTCACCCACACACACAGGGGACACACAAGGTATCTGCACCTACATGCCTCTACATGGACATACAGCTTACATACACACATCAAACAGCCAACATGACACCCTGGATACACACACAGGGCTTCCCACACACCCACACATGGACACATGGCACATGGGTATGTTTCTCTCCACCCCACCCCCATCCTTGTTCTCACTCTCTTCTATTCATGGGCTCAGGAGTATACAAGCACACATACATCCAAAAACACACCCATGATACACACACACATCTATGCAGGACAGAGTGCATACATACACATATAAGCGTAAATGTATACAGGATACACAAAGGAACCTATAAAATTCCCACCAAAAGCACTCTGTCTCCTGTAAATGCCCCCCCCACACACACACACAGCTAATCCAGCTGCCCAGAGCCTGGAAGGTGCGGGTAGGGGACAGGTTTAGAATAAAAGGGGAGATGTATACCCCCAGGTTGGACATCCAGTCAGCGGCTACCTTTCGGCTGACCCCACCAGTCTCTAGGTAGTTCTTCAGCTTCTGAATGTAGGCTGCAGGGGGGTTCTTGACTTGAAACCGTTCCTGGAGGGATAGATGGGGTATCCAGGGAGCTGGCCAGAGCTACTGCAGAGCCACTGACCAGGTCCCCTACCAGTGTTCCTTTTTTTTTTTCTCTCTCTCTCTCTCTCCTGGGTTTTCAGGCTTTTTTTTTTTTCTGTCAGTCCTGGGGCTTGAACTCAGGGCCTGGGCACTGTCCCTGAGCTTCTTTTGCTCAAGGATAGCATTCTACCACTTGAGCCTTAGCACTACTTCCGACTTTTTCTGTTTATGTGGTACAGAGGAATCGAACCCAAGGCTTCATGAATGCTTGGCAAGCACTCTACCACTAAGTCACATCCCCAGTCCAGTCAGGCTATCTTAAGTTACATCAGAAATACCTAAGGCACAAACCCAAAAGACCTGGTCTGGAGGCATAGTGCAGAGGACCTATCCTGTCTCCTGTCTGCCCTAGGGCACCTAGCTACTCAGGAGGCTGAAATTTGAGGATGGTGGTTCAAAGCCAGCCCGGGCAGGAAAGACCTTGAGACTCTTATCTCCAATAAACCACTCAGAAAACCAGAAGTGGCACTGTGGCTCAAGTGGTAGAGTGCTAGCCTTGAGCTGAAGAGCTGAGGGACAGCGCCCAGACCGAGAGTTCACAGATGACCCCACCCATAGGAGCTCCCACTCAGCCCAACCCACAGCATTCAAATGTGCCCAGCCACCCGCTCCACCCTTCTGAGATGCCAGGCTAAGCCCCTCAGGAGCACTCTCCACTTCTGTCCTCAGCCCAGCCTTACCCCAGCTAGATGTCTGCCCAGCCAGCCCGCCCATTCCATTAGCAGGAAGCTTCACCAGGCTGGGGGGGGGGGAGGATGGGGGGATGACTCTGGCACTCTCTAGTTCTCATACCTCAGCCTGAGGCCACACTCACCTCCTCCCTTTCTAGATCCTAAAGTGGTCAGACCCTACCCCCCCTCAGTACTGGGAGAAGTCCACTCCAGTGTCCAGCAGCTGGACACTGCCCAGTTGTGGTGGGCAGCTGCCCAACTGTGAGCCCAGAGCCTAGACTGAGTTCCAAGGGGCAGCAGTCTGAACTGTCTGGCCTCGAAGGCTGCTGCTTCACCTTCTCTCCCCGGACCCACAGGGAAAGGTGGGGGCAAGGATCCCTTCCCTCTCTTCTCTTACAGTAGGCAACCCAGGATTGCCCCTTTCCTTCTCCAGCCCAGGACAGGAGGGTAAAGAGAGGCCCAACCTCTGCCATCTCACATCTCCCATGGTCTCTGGGGAGATGGGGATACAAAGTCCCTCAGAGCGCCCCACCAGCATTTCCAGATGATACCCCAGCCAGCCTCTGAGCAGGATCTCAGCCCCACGAGCATCAAGGCAGAGGGAAGGAAGGCCCACCTGGTCACAGATCAGCTCCCACTTCTTCTCGTTGTCATACTGGCTCAGCAGCTGGACCTTGTCTGGGGGCAAGTTCATGCAGTTCTGGGAGGGGAGAAAGAAAGGGAAGATACCTGAGCCTGGGACCCAAACATGATGAGAATGTTAGGGCATTGTCAGGAAACTAAGTTCCCTCGGAAGGCTTGTGTCATTCTTTCACCCAGGAAATAAGTGCTATTATCCATGGAAAAAACCAAGGCGCAGAGAGGCAGAGTGCATATCCCCCATAACCCAGCATCTAGAAAGGGACCCACAGTTTGTTTTGCCAGTACTGGGGCTTGAACTCAGCCTTAGCCTGATCACTGTCCCTTAGCTTTTTCACTCAAGGCTGGATAGAGCTCTAGCACTAGAGCCACTCTTCCAGTTCTAGCTTTTTTGGTGGTTAATTGGAGATTAGAGTCTCACAGACTTTCCTGCCCAGGCTGGCTTCAAACCTCAATCCTCAGACCTCAACTTCCTGTGTAGCTAGGATTACAGGCAGACATGAGCCACTGGCTCCCTGTCTGGACCCAGGGTTTTATGTGTGCTTGTGACAGGGTCTCAGTATGTATCCTAGGCTGTCCTAAAACTCCATATGGAAATTTGTGATCCTCCTGCCTCTGCCTCCCATGTGATGCAGTTCTGTGTGTGAACTACCACACCTGGCTCTCCTGGACTCAGGATCTGAATTCAAAGCTAACTGGGCTCTGTCACACACATACACACTGTCTCCCTGGCATACCTGGCATGAGACAGGCACATGCCTTCCCTGGGCTCCAGTTTCCCCAAGCTGTGTTAGCTTCCTCTATCCTGGCAGGAAGCTAGCAAAGGAGCATTCACCAGCCAGGTACAGCTGCAGCCATCAAGCAATGACCCCCTTCCCACATGCCATCAGACACCCCAATCCCACGAGCACAGACCCAGTCCAGAGTGTCAATGCCAGCAAGGGCAGAGGCAACCTTCCCCAACCCTCTCCAGTACACCCACCAGGTCCCTTCAGGGAGGGAGGGAATGAGACAGGACACAAGGGGCAGAGGGCAACATGTCAAGCTGTGTCATGGCTGAAGGTGTGTCAGAGGCCAGAAGTAGGCATAGGTAGAATACTAGGCAGTGGTGCTGGTGGCCCAGAATGGAACTCTCCTCAGAGGCTAAGAAAGTTCAGCAAGAGCTCTGCCTTGGTCCTTTCCTGGCCATGCTGCCCCTGTAATACAGTCCAGCTCAGAGCTACAGAATTGACAAGGTGTTGCCAGAATTTGGGGCTCTCTGGACCCCAGCATTTGGCAAATCTCCCTAACACACCTAGAAGACAAGCTAGTTCATTCAGGAAATTCAGGAAACTCTGGTTTATGAAGGGCTTAAGTCTATATCAAGCCCCCAAAACCAGTTGTTGTCTTCATGGAGTTCTCAGTCAAGCTGGGACGATATGGGACACCCCCTCCCAGGGGAGTACAAACCCAGTATTGGACTGTCACCAGCCCTGGCCATCAGGAACATACACACGCCATCACGTGGCTCTAAGGAAAGGTCACACGTGGCTAGGGCAGCCAGAGAGCCACACCCACCTGAGGCTCCTCAGCCAGCTTCCTCTCTTGGTTGCTAAGCCTAGGGCTGGAGCTCTGGCTAGACCTCACCCCCAAATCACTGCCTTGATTTAGTGTCACATAACAGGAAACGGGGTGTTCTCATCCCCCATTGCCTAACTTTCCGGCTGGGGCCCTACTTGAGAGGTGAAATTGTCCACCCACCAGACTCCTGGGTCAGCTGGGGGTAGGGTACGTCATCTGCACACCCCCACCCCCACCTCTGCATTGTGTAAGAGCCTGATCTGAGGAAACCACTGCAAACCCCCCCTCGCCCCCCCCCCGTGCCTGGGGCCAGACCAGGGGCCCTCTCCTGCAGTAAGAGAGAGACTGCCCAGGAAGGAGCCTTCAGGCTATGGGGGGGGGGGCTCTGCTAGGGGGCTTGGAGGCTAACGTCCCTCTCTTTCTGATCCACTCCCAATGTACAGAGACAAAGGGAAGCAGTGGCACTGAGGTACATGGGTCTGGGGAAAAGAGGAAGTTGATGCCAGGCGATAGAGGAAGGCACGGAGCCCTAGCATCTGAGCCTTAGAAGGGACGGCCACCTACTAGCAGGTACTTTCTGGGTCCTCACCTAATGTGTGGTGCTGGAATGGCCCTCAAGTCATGATCATAACCCCAACAGTCATGGCAGCCAGCTTTCCCTGAATGTGCCAGGCACCACTCAGCGCCCTGCATGCTGCTGGCAGGCCTTCTGCCCCCTGCCTGCCTTGGCACTGCTGCTGTGCCCATCCCACAGGTGCACTGAGTCGTCGCCTGACCTGCCCAAGGTCACCTACAAAGCCAGTAATAAAAAAAGAAGCTAGCTGGCTTTGAGCCACAGCTTTGGTCCTCTCCTCCCGAGCAGTCTCAGGGTATATGCTGCAAAGCAGAGGAGAAGCCTCTCCAGGGTCTTGCTCAGAGCATCCATCCCAACAGTGGTGGAGGGCAAGGTGCCCCTTCCCCACCTGGGGCCTCCTCAGGCCCCAGTCCCATGTGCCAGCCTGCTAGACAGTGCTAAATTTAGGCTCTGAAATCAGAAATAGCTCTGACAGCGTTGAGCACTAATTAGCAGCTGCTCCCCAGCTGCGGCTGTGCCCACCAAGGAGATGGGCACCCAGGGAGTGGGAGAGGGGCCAGCAAATGCCACTCACTCGGGGTGACAGGAGGCCACTCTGAAAAACAGGGGCAAGGCCCTAACCAGGCCCCTCAGCAAAGAGGGATGGCATGGGTGCTGGGGGAAGCAAACATTGCTCAGCTAAGACAGGAAGGGCCAAGCAGTCCAGGTATGTGGTGAAGGGTACGTCTGCAACATGGAGGGACCAGAGTGGGACTCAAAAGACCCAGGCTCTGGCCGGGCACCGGTGGCTCAATCCTATAATCCTAGCTACTCAGGAAGCTGAGATCTGAGGCTCACAGCTCAAAGCCAGCCTGGGCAGGAAAGTCTGTGAGACTCTTATCTCCAATTAACCACCAGCAAACTGGAAGTGGGGCTGTGGCTAAGTGGTAAAGCGCTAGAAACTGTTTTGTTGTTGTTGTCATTTTTGTTTTGGTTTGTGGGTGTGCGCGTGCACACTGGTACTGGAGCTTGAACTCAAGGCCTGTGCACTGTCCCTGAGCCTTCAGCTTCTTTCCCAGCTGCCCTAGTGCTTTGGGTCAGATGAGGAAGGATATGGGGTATGGTCAAGGAAAGGGGTTAATTCCCTCCCTTTTCTATTAGAGTGTATGGTGACCATCGTCCTCCCTGCCTGTGCCTCCTAAGGTCAGAGAGACACTGCACATCCACACTCAGCCCCTGCAGGCTCCTACTTCATACTAGGAGCCCTCCCCCCCCTTTCCCTGTGTTGACTTCTGTCCCAGGGTGCGATCCCAGGAGGCTGACAGCTCTAGCCACATCTGGACAGGGCCACGCCCTGCAGTTTCACTTTCCATTTGAGCATCTAGGCCCCAATCCACCAGGCCATCCTTTCCCCATAGCTGTATCCCACCCTCCCCTGCAAGCCGCAAAGTGCCCCCAAATATAGACATCAAGCCCACTGTTAGGCCAGAAATCAGGCAACCCCCCAGCCTCTATTCTATATCCCCCTACACCACTGTGTGGCCTCAATCTTGGCTTTTAAGCTCTCAGCACATCTGCAGAAACAATCAATTGCATCCACTTCTTAAAATCTCCGGATACAGACTCTCTGGTGCTCTTACAGGCTTAGAGGAAGCTATGGGAGTGACCCACCCTGTTTCAGGTGCTGAGATCTCCTAAGGCTAACAGCTCCTCCCATCTGAGCCCCAGCATCCCCTGCAGGTCTGTGTCCCTGGAAGCAAATATAGGACAAGAATAGGAACCAAGATACCAGACCCTGTCCAAATTATCCAGGCTGCAGGAAACCAATAGCAATAAAACAAATTCTCCCAAAACATTTCCTCTGGGCTAATGCCAACTAAGGACTCTACATCTATTCACTCAGTTAAATCTCAACAACAAGCTTGCAAAAAAGATGCTATTACAACCTTTATTGCAGGAAAGGGAAACTGAGGCACAGAGCGATTAAGTTAACTACCCAAGGATATCTAGATGGCAAACTGGTTGCATAGGACTCAGTTTCCTCAGAAGAAAGACCAATGGGGTGCTGACCTCCTCCTCCCAGAGGTTTGCTGTGGATAGCCTGGCCCCAGTCCCCTCAGCTCTGAAGAACCCATAACAGCCAGCCAGAGCCTCTTCCTGCCACCCAGCACCCTACACTTCCTGTTGTTGCCCATACTGAGCTCTTACTCACTGGGGAACACCCCCACCAGCACCCCTGGGTGTGGGGAAGTAGAGGCCTTCCACCCCTCCTCATGTGCACACACTAGCTGCCGTGCTAGCTGCCGTTGGCCCCACCGCAGCCCCACCTTCCAGGAGAGGTGGGCCCTCCCTCTCGTGGTTTCCGGCCACCAGGCAGTTTTCAGTCTAGGCCTCGCTGCTGCAGACCTGTGTAATGGCTGGGTGGGAGGTGGCCTGGTTTATCAGAGCTGAAGACCTGCATGGCAACCCAGGGTGTTCTTGAGGAGAGGAGAGAAGGGGTTCCAACATGGAGAGAATCAGATCAGCACCCTTTTGCTCACCATGAAGCACAGCTATGGGCATTTCCCCATGACCAGGCATTGTGTGAAGCACTCTATTTAATCCCCTTTATAACAATAAATGTGTAATTTACATGTAAAGAAAATTATCTTGGGGGCTGGGAAGGTGGCTCAGTGGTAGAGCGCTTGCCTTGCATGCATGAGGCCCTGGGTTCAATTCCTCAGCACCACATAAGCAAAAAGAAAAAAGCCAGAAGTGGCACTGTGGCTCAAGTGGTAGAGTGCTAGCCTTGAGCTGAAGAGCTGAGGGACAGCGCCCAGGCCCAGAGTTCAGGCCCCACGACTGGACCCAAAAAAAAAGAAAGAAAAGAAAATTATCTTGGTGGCTTAGTGGTAAAGTGCTTGCCTAGCATGCATGAGGCCCTAGGTTTGATTCCTTGATACCACATAAGATAAAATAAAAGGGGCTGGGAAGGTGGCTCAGTGGTAGAGTGCTTGCCTTGCATGCTCGAGGCCCTGGGTTCGATTCCTCAGCACCACATAAGCAAAAAGAAAAAAGCCGGAATTGGCGCTGTGGCTCAAGTGGTAGAGCGCTAGCCTTAAGCTGAAGAGCTGAGGGACAGCGCCCAGGCCCAGAGTTCAGGCCCCACGACCGGACCCAAAAAAAAAAAAGATAAAATAAAAGGAAAAATAACCACTAAAATTATTAAAAAAAAAAAAAAAGAAAGAAAATTAAGCTCACGCTTGTAATCCTAGCTACTCAGGAGACTAAGATCTGAGGATCGCAGTTCAAAGCCAGCCCAGGCAGGAAGGACCGTGAGACTCTTATCTCCAATAAACCACCAGAAAACTGGAAGTCTGCCCAGGCCCAGAGTTCATGACTAACAAAAAAAAAAAGGAAAGAAAAAAGAAAATTATCTTCACAGTATGGTAGTTACCACGTTCCCCTTACATGTAAGGAATACTGAAGTTCAGAGAGGTTGAGTAACTTGCCCTAGGTCACAAAGATAGTAATTGGTAAAGATAAGATTCAATCCCCAAACTTGATTACCTCTGCCCCCTAAACCTGGGAAACTTTCCCTGCCTTTCTCCCGAGCAACCTCTGTCCATTCAAAGGCAGGGAGGCCCAAACCACCTTCCAGAACTTTGTATTCCCAGGAAAAGTACCAAGATGGCTGGCCCCTACGAGTAACCACACCTGCTCCTGCCCATCTTACCCAGCTCTTTGCCAAAAGGCCCCAGATGCCATTGTGAATCATGTCCACCACATCTCTGCATTTCTAGGCCAGTCTATGCCAGGCCTGCCTGCTGAGAATGTCACCCACAGCCTCTGCCCAGCCCAGCATCTGACCACAGGATGACACCCCAGTGAGTGTGTGGGAGATAGAGGGAAGGAAGTGAAGAGTCTGAGCCACCCCACCCTTACCCCTAGCTGCAGGCCCAAAACTTGAGGAGCTCTACCCCAGAGGAGTTGCTGGCCTGGGAGATGCACCTCCATCACAGGCTGGCAGAATGGAGACACCAGCCTGCTCTAAAGGGCCTGACGAGAGTCAAGCTTTCCAGGGCCCAGGCCCTGCTTAGAACCGTTGTGACTGCCCCATGTAGCCTGGTCAAGTGTCCAGGTCCTTGAGCATGGGTAAGATCACTCTAAGGGCTAAATCCTTACCCATATGATATGCTCTCTTGTGTGCAAACATCACTCTCAGCCCCACCTCCACTTATCCCTGAGCCCCCAGGATACAGGCTGCTCTCTGCCCAGGCAGGTCAGGGTACCCTATGCCCCATTATACACATGACACTCCTGGCAAGCCATCCCAAACCCTCACCCCATATGCCTCCTCCCAAGGCAGGAAGACGTTGGAAGACACCCAGCCTCGGGCAGGGCGTAGGAGAGGCGCGAGCTTGGAGCCTGGCTGGCTGGCATTCCCACCATCCCAGCAGGCCCATGGAGCTGGGCAGCCACGCTCCTCCACGTTGCTAAGGCAGCAGCCGGAAACCCTGGCCCAACCTGCGCTTCCTCCACTGTAAGCAGGGACCCCTCTCTCACAGCCTAGCACACAGGGGCTCTCTGCACCTCCTGCCCAGATGGGGAGACTTTGCTGGAGATACCCCAAATCAGGAAGAAGAATCCCATGTCCAGGAAAGGAGCAGTTTGGGGTATGGGGACCTATTCCCCACCAGGATGGAAAGGCCCTGTTGAAATGACAGAAAAAGGTTCTCTGAGGCCATGGTGACCAGGACTATAGGTGGTGCCCCTTCCCCCTCCCCCCCCCACTATTCTAGATTCTTCTTTTAAGACATACCTTAAGGATGAGACTCAGCTCTGACCTTTAAAATGGGGAGGTCAAATGGAGCTACCCTCTGAAATACTCATGGCCAGACTTATGGGTTCAGCCAGATCTTTTGTCCTGGGCAGCCTCAAGCAATGGACAAGGTTATCACAGGAGGTGTGTGGGGGGGGTATCATATCCCTGCTAGTAGAGAGTAAGAAGAGCCACGTTTTTTAGCCAAAATTGATCTTGGTCATAACAGGGCAAAAGATGCACCTTCCCCAGGAAGAAGGTATAAACACAATGGGGTTCCTGGGAGCCTAGGGGGAGGAGGCCCAGTGGGTGCTGCTGCCCAGCCACCAGAACACCTCTAAGATCCCTCTCTAGACCTCCTCTCCACCCCTGCTACAATTTGCTCCACCCCAAGCCAGAATGCAGAGTGACCAACCCACACTAACCCAGTCCATCTGGCGTGTGTGTGTCTGTGTGTCTGTGTGTCTGTGTGTGTCTGCGTGCACACATGCATATGCCAGTACTGGGGTTTGAATAGGAACTCAGGGCCTAAGCTCTGTCCCTTAGCTTTTCACTCAAGACTGGCACCCTACCACTTGAGCCACACACAGATCCACTTCTAGCTTTTTTTTTTTTAATTGGAGATACTAGTCTCATAGACTTTCCTTCCCAGGCTGGCTTCAAATCACAATCCTCAGATCTCAGCCTCTTGAGTAGCTCAGATTACAGGCATGAGCCACCAGCACCCAGCTTAGGAGGGGTTGCCTAAGAAGAGAGCCATAAGGACACAATTCCAGGCAAAAATGGTGTAAGTGACACAGACAGCCTGTTTGGACTACCCAACTCCAGTGACATTTTGTTTGACTTAGCCAGTCAGTTATAGCCACAAATCACCTGGGACAGTAAAGCTCCATACTTGCATGGGACTGTCCACACTAGACTTGGATTTTCCCAGATCTGAATTATTCACATGACTCTTCCCCATTACCATGCATAACAGAGAACAGCCTAGAAACTAGACCTCACCCCTCACCTCCAAAGCCTATCCTACCCCTATTATAGACACACAGGGGGCTGAGATGATCACACACTCATGGTTACCCCGTAAGGTTGTGGGGATCTTGGGACCATCACCAACTCAGGCTCCCCCAAGAGGGTCCCTAAACCTTGTATCTCATGTTCCCTTCCCCCATCTAGTCAGTCAGCTTAGCCTTGCTGAGGTCTGGGTTTGGGATAGGACTCTTCAGGGCAGGTGAAGAGATGGGTTAGTCAGGGACTGGCCTGAGTCCCTCCTCCTCCCCACCCAAGCAAGGTGCCTTCACAAGGTCACACACCACACATACACATCACACATTCCTCCAGAACCCCTCTTAACTTTCCCTTGGAGTGGGCAGCTGTCAGGATTCTCAGGAACTATTTGTTAGATGACCCCCTCCCCCGGGGGGGCCATGCAGAGGATCAAGCAAGTAGGGCTGAATGATGGGCTGAAGGTGGGGGGAAAGGGTAGAGGGAGTCAAAGGGCCAAAGATGGAACCAACACCACTTTGCTGCCTGTGCCCCTCCTCCCCCAGCAGGGGCCTCCACCCTCAGACCTGCAGTGCCAACCTGCTCAGACTGAGACGTGCTCTGGGAAACAACCCCGCCTTCCTGCCTGTCACCAGTGTCCAGTAAGAGACAGCTGACAGCAGACAGGCCACACCAGGCAATTAGTTAGAGAAAGGGAGCAGGGAAGAGGGCTGAGGTGGAGAGAGGGAAGTGAGAATGGGTGGCCCTTCCTCTTCCCTGCATCTTCTGCCTCCCATCTGTCTTGGGGACCTCTCACTGCACTGGCTGGTGCACCCCAGTCATGTTTTGACTGTTCTGAACTCAGCTTGAGTTGATGGCTTTCTCCCCAGTGGTAAAGCCTCAGCAACCTTCCCCAGCCCCCCACCCCCCAAAAAAAAATTTTTTCCCCTTGGAAGTGGCACTGTGACTCAAGTGTAGAGCACTTGGCTTGAGCTGAAGAGCTGAGGGACAGCGCCCAGGCCCAGAGTTCAAGCCCCATGACTGACCCTCCACCCCCAAAAAAGAGTAAATTCCAAAAAAATATTTTCCCAGGCAGGTGATAAGAGGAAGGAATGGGGGCTTCTTGACTTTTGCTTCACCTCAAGCCAGAGTGACCCATCCATGCAGACCCCACCCGGATGAGGGGCACATGCCTCCTGGGCCATATGGGTGGAGAGGGAGGGTCATGGGGGGGGGGAGGGAAACACAAGTGCCGGCTGGCTCCGCAGGATCTGACCACCTACCCACCCGCCTCCCAGCTGCCGGGACACCAGAGCAAACCAGAACCAAGAGCTCCCACTGAGTCCTGGGCTTGTAAGAGGCTATGTCGTCGTAACCCTTCCATCTTTGACCCTGAGACACAGAAGGGCGGATGCTCCAGACCCGCACCCCACAACTGGGCCTGCGTGCGTGGAGAGCTCCCCACGCGAGAGCTCCGCTCCACCCTCCCCGCAGGACGTTTCTGCTTCAGACCTTCAAGCTGAGGAGGGTGGGAGGGGGGTGCGGGCTGGGGGGGACAGCCTGGGCCACTGCAGAAGAAAGTTTTATTTGGGGGGGGGAGGAGGAGGGGAGTGGAGAGTGCTAAGTCACGGAGAGAAGCCACTGTCCCTCCCACCCTCCCGGAGGGGGGCAGCCGCCGGGCTGGGGATCTCCAAGCGGCACCTGAGCCCCCGGAGGGCGGGGACGCGCGCGGAGCCCCCGCCGCCCCTCGCCCGGTGGCTCGGGCACGGACACCCCGCGCACTCACCAGGACGCGGTTGAATCGCTCCTCCAGCTCCCCGGCGGCGGGCATCGGCTGCTTGGGGGCGGCGGGCTGCTTGGGGGGCGAC